TCGTCCAGCGCATTGAGGTCCACCTCGTTCTCGCGTAGCTGCTGCAGTCCAGTCTCGAAGCGGATGAGCCAGTCCGTCATGCGTTCATCTCGTCGTCGGTGATGTTGCGTCGACTCGAAAAACTTTTCACGGGTCTGGCCCGTCTGCAAGGGCTCCTGCTGACCCTAACTGGCCTCCAGGTGCTGTAGCACATTCTCGATGCCAGCCTGGTTCCTATTGCGCTTCCTGTCATCGGGGTCTTCGATGTCCGCCGCGGCTGCTGGATGCAGCTGCGCCTCCGTCATATTTAGCTCTGCGCCTCGGGCTGCCCCGTTGAGCTTCATCGCGAGCTTCGATGCGAGACTGTGCGCCACGGCGAGGTTCTCACTGAGCTTCCAGAGCTTGACCTCCTGCTTGTAATCTCTCCACTTTGACGGATCGCCGTTCCAAGTTGGGACGGCGCTGTACGCGTAGTTGTCTGTCATTTTGTCCAGAACGAAATAGTGAGCCGCGTCGCTGACACTGGCGTCGAAAGAGGAATAGGCGTTGATGCTGGCGTCGCTCACGCTGGCGTTGGAGAAGTAGGCGAAGTAGTGGTTGATGCTGGCGTCGCTGACGCTGGCGCTGGAGAGGCGGGCGCTGATGCTTGCGTCGCTGACGCTGGCGTAGACGAAGTAGGCGCTGATGCTGGCGTCGCTGACGCTGGCGTAGGAGAAGTAGGCGACATAGTCGTTGATGACGGCGTCGCTGACGCTGTCGTGAGAGAGGTAGGCGTTGATGTCGGCGTCGCTGACAACGACGCATGGGAAGTAGGCGTGGATGTCGGCGTCGCTGACGCTGACGTGCGGGAAGTAGGCGTTGATGTCGGCGTCGCTGACGCTGACGTATGGCAAGTAGGCGTTGGAGGCGTAGGTGCTGGCGTCGCTGACGCTGGCGTAGGAGTTGGCAGGGTAGGCGTTGGTGCTGGCGTCGCTGACGCTGGCGTAGGCGCTGAGCAACAGCGCGAGGAAGCCGCTGGGCTTCGATTCCGTGGCTCGTGACGGCTTCGTCGTGGCTGCACAATGGAATGGCGCGCGGCGCCAGGATCTGAAATGGTGCGCGGCGCCAGGCAGCTTAGACTCGCTCCGCTACCACTGTGATATGGAAGATAGTCGATGAATCTTCTTACTCGCGCGGCGAGGGGCGTAGCTCTAAGGCCAAGGACCTTTGTTTGAATAGAAACGGCGGCGGTGAGAGGAGCAAGGGATGACACCACAGGGCCCTCGAGGCTTCTGGGGGGACCCCTCTCGGGCTTCTTGCATTCCTGGGGAGTGAGCTTGATTTACACTCTGAAGCTCTGAAAGGCTTCTGAGAAGTCCTCAAAAGGGCGTCTGAAAAGCCCTCTGGAGCCTTCTCAGAAGCCCCCCAAGGCTTCTGAGACGTCCTCGAAGGCTTCTGAGAAGCCCTCAGGAGGCTTCGGAGAAGCCCTCAGAGGCCTCGGAGAAGCCCTCAGGAGGACTCTGAGAAGCCCTCAGAGGCTTCAGGAGGCTTCCGAGAAGCCCTCAAAGGCCTCTGAGCAGCCCTCAGAAGCCTCTGAAAAGCCCGATTGTGAAGTGGCCGGTGTGATTGTAAAGAGGGGCTTTTGGTTTCAAAGTATATATGACAGTGCTGTTTTGGTTGGAAGTGACCCAACTGAAGGAACAACGACAGATTTCGACCGTTTTCTTGTTGGAACGTTCCCCAGCTGGTTGGACAGATCGCTTCTCGTATCAAAGAGACCTAGACTCCCTCCCTAGGACCCCTCCACAGGATCCCTCCAGCCCCGGGCAGGGATTCCACGCGAATCAATTACGACATTGTTTGATTCTTAGGCTTACGCCACACCGCCGACCCCTTGTTTATGCCAATCTGGGGGTAGTAGAAGCTGCGAAGGGGTGAAAAGGCGAGTGATATTTGTTTGGTGTCTGTTCGCCGCCACCGCCAGAGGGTCTCGGGCAGTTCCGCGGGGGGGTCCGAGCGGACGGCGACACCGCGAGTTTTGGAGCCACTTGGGGGCCGTTTCGGAGCCTCTGGGGTGCTTCTTGGGGGTTCCTTGGGGCGTCTGGGCGGCCTCGTGAGGGCCTCTGGGGGCCTCTTGGGGCACTCTTGGGGCCCCCTGGGGCTCCTGGGGGCAGAAAGCTAGAGTTTCAACATGTTTGGTCGCCCTCTTGGGCCCCTCTTGGTGCCGTCTTGGAGCCCTCTTGGGCCGTCTTGGGGACCTCTTGGGCCGTGTTGGGGCCGTCTTGGGCCGTCTGGAGGCCGTCTTGGGGGCCTCTTGGGCCATCTTGGGGCTGTCTTTGGGGCCTCTTTGGCCGTCTTGGAGCGTCGGGAAGCCGAAAAGGCCGAAAAGCCGAAGGCTAAAACTACAACTACGACTACTACTACTACTACGACGACGACGACGCCTGGAAAAGTCGGAGGCCCAGGTTTTCCGTTGTGGGGCATGCCCGAAGGGGGCGGATGGGAAGGCGCCCGCGTTTACAGACGTGAGCCATTTATCGGACAGTCAGAAAGAACATTACAGGAGAACGGGCCAAACGCATCGCCCGGTCATGTGCCGCGCGTGCCACGAAAAATCGGAGGCCCAGATTTTCCGTTGTGGAGCATGCCCGACGGGGGCGGATGGGAAGGCGCCCGCGTTCACAGACTTGAGCCATTTGTCCGATAACCAGAAAGTACATTATAGGAAGACGGGCCAGGCGCATCGCCCAGTCGTGTGCCGCGCGTGTCACGATGCGCGCACGGGGGCGAAAAAGTTTGAATGCTCCGCGTGCCCACCGAACGGGGACGGGAAGAAACCAGCGTTTTCAGACGGGGGCCATTTGTCGAAAGACCAGAAGAAGAATTATTTCAAGCGAAACAACCCAGTTGTGTGCGCGAAGTGTTTTAAAGCGGGACGAGCGCCGCGGAGAGACCCTCCGAAACGCCCGGCGGAACCAAGTGACGAGCATTGCGACAAGGCACGGAAGTTGCGAGGAATCTGACCGCTGGGGACGGGATGGATAAGGCCCGCGTTTACAGACGTGAGCCATTTATCGGACAGTCAGAAAGAACATTACAGGAGAACGGGCCAAACGCATCGCCCGGTCATGTGCCGCGCGTGCCACGAAAAATCGGAGGCCCAGATTTTCCGTTGTGGAGCATGCCCGACGGGGGCGGATGGGAAGGCGCCCGCGTTCACAGACTTGAGCCATTTGTCCGATAACCAGAAAGTACATTATAGGAAGACGGGCCAGGCGCATCGCCCAGTCGTGTGCCGCGCGTGTCACGATGCGCGCACGGGGGCGAAAAAGTTTGAATGCTCCGCGTGCCCACCGAACGGGGACGGGAAGAAACCAGCGTTTTCAGACGGGGGCCATTTGTCGAAAGACCAGAAGAAGAATTATTTCAAGCGAAACAACCCAGTTGTGTGCGCGAAGTGTTTTAAAGCGGGACGAGCGCCGCGGAGAGACCCTCCGAAACGCCCGGCGGAACCAAGTGACGAGCATTGCGACAAGGCACGGAAGTTGCGAGGAATCTGACCGCTGGGGACGGGATGGATAAGGGGGACGTGGAGGAGGGAGGATGGGGGAGCAGCCAAAGGCGGAGAAGGTGAAAAGTGAGCCAGTGGAGGGAATACGAGACAGAAAGCTGAGAGGGGAGACGGGAGGAGGGGGCGGAAGAGGAGGATGAGAAGGAGCAGGAGAACACGACGAGGACGACAATGGCGGCGACAGACTCGACGGCGTAGGCTGGGCACCTTTTTGGGGCCATCTTGGGGGCTTCGTTGACCGTTGTGGGAGCCTCTGGCGCCGTCGTCGTGAGAATCCTCTCGGGGGCCTGCGGGAGGCAGTTTGGAGGCTTCTGGGGAGCTGTTTTGGGGCAGCTTGGGGCTTTTTTTGGGCTTGTTGGGGGCCTCTTGGGGGCTTCTTGGAGCCTCTTGGAGGCCTCTTGGGGCCTCCTTGGCGCCTTTTGGGGCGGAAGGCTAGAATTTTAGGTTCGTGGTCCCCGTCTGGAGCCTTTCTTGGGCCCCTCTGTGGGCCCTCTTGGACTGTCTGAAGGCCCTCTTGAGCCGTTTTGAGGCGCTCTTGGGCCGTGTTGGGGCCCACTTGGGAGCCTCTCGGGTCGTCTTGATGCCGTCTTGGGGGCTTCTTTCGCCGTCTTGGAGCGTCGGAAGCCCGAAAAAACGCGAAGGCCAAAAACGTTGAAAAAACCAATGGAAATCGACGATTTTGGCCTCTTGGGGCCATCTTGGGAGGCGTCTTGGAAGCTTCTTGGGGCGTCTTGGAGGCATCTGGGGCCATCTGGAGGCCATCTTGACCGTCTTCGAGTGTTTTTTCGGCGACTCGGGGCCCTCTTGGACCGTCTGCAGAGCTTCTTGGGAGCCTCTTCGCTCGTTTGCGGCCCCCCCAGCAGACTCTCTGGAGCGGATGACCCCCCCCGGACCGCGCCGGCGGATCCCGGGGAATCCGGCCGGACCCCCCCCCCCCCCCCTCCAAAACGACCGGACCAGGCTCCGGGGGGAGGGGTTTGGGGAGGGGGGAAGCATCTCACACGCCGATGACCCCAAGGGGTCGGCGGATTTCCGTCTGGCTGGACCGATTGATGATGATGAAGAGGAGGAAGAGGAGGAGGAGGAGGAGGAGGAGGAGGAGGAGGAGGAGGAGGAGGAGGAGGAGGAGGAGGAGGAGGAGGAGGAGGAGGAGGAGGAGGGAGGAGGAGGAGGAGGAGGAGGAGGAGGAGGAGGAGGAGGAGGAGGAGGAGGAGGAGGAGAGGAGGAGGAGGAGGAGGAGGAGGAGGAGGAGCAGGAGGAGCAGGAGGAGGGCCTAAGGAAAGGGCGGGGGGCGGCGACGGCGACGCCGACGACGACCCAAACGGAAAAACGTTTCACACGCGCCGATAGGGTCGGCGGGTTTATAAGGAGGAGGACGAAGAGGATGATGAGCAGGAGGAGGAGTAGGAAAATGATGAGCAGCAGGAGGACCGCTTCTCCGGGCCTCCGAGAGCCTCCGCGCGCGTGCGAGGGCTACCGGGCGCATTACTCGCCAGACGTGCAGCTGAACGGGTGCCGCCGATCCGCCGCCTGCTGGGGCCGTCGTGACCTCAGGGGGCTGGTCCGCATCAGATGCCTCCTCCTCCTCCTCCGCCTCCTCCTCCTCCTCCTCCTCCCTCCTCCTCCCTCCTCCTCCTCCCTCCTCCTCCCTCGTCCTCTCTCCTCCCTCCTCCTCCTCCTCCTGGCCACAGCAAGCCTGAACTCGGATCAACGACGTGGACACAAAGCGTATCATCCACAGTGACTCACCCAGGGCGCCATCGCCTCTGCAGTTCCTCGCCTATAGAGTCCAGGGCAGGTTTTCGGGGGGCACGTTGCCAGAAGTCGCATTGCTGTCACGGGCGTTCCAGTTTTTGATGCTCGTTTCGGGGACGTTCCTGAGGGCCGTCTAACGGATTCGGTCGACTGTTTCGAAGCCAGTAATTCGATTCGAAACAGTCGATCAGATCCGTTAGGTGCGATTCGAGTTCGATTCTAGTTCGGCTCAAGTGCGACTCTAGCTAGACTGAAATTCGACTCAAGGTGACTGACGTTCGATGTAGCATCGACGCATGAGTTGAGCGAGTGGCTCCAGAGAGGTCCCCAGATCGAGCATCTAACTCTTTTTGGGCAGGGCTTGCTCTCGTCTTCGAGGCGCTCGTGGTCTGTGTGGTGGCAACCATTCGCCTGCCCAGCAGCAGCTGCAGCCTATTCTGGGCAACATTTGCCGCTTGGCGTTCTCTCCAATACTGCCGTCCGTATATTGTCGGTCGGGAGTGTCAATCTTCTCCTCCTCTTCTTTCTCCTCCTCTTCTTCCTCCTCCTCCTCCTCCTCCTCCTCCCCTCCTAGGTCCCAGGTTCGAGGTTGCCGAGATTCCAATGCAAACTGTGCGTTGTGCCGTTTCTGGACTTCGGAGGCCTCCAGGGGCATCTGGAGACCTCGAGGGACCTCCCGAGACCTCTGGGGGCGTCAGGGGACCTGGGTCCCTCCCTCCCCTGTACTTCCCTCTTCCCTTCCACGCCCTCCTACTCGAGACGCTCTGCGCTCCACCCGCCCTCTGCAGTGCTCGCCGGGCGTGTCGAAGATGGCCGAACACGGTATTCAGACGGACCACGAAGGGGCCACGACTAGGGGGCCACATGCGAACCCTACCCCTACCCCCCACGATTTCTGAGAGGGAGGGTGGGGTAGGGTTCGCATGTGGCCCCCTAACGACGGGGCCAGAGTGGAGCCGAGATGCGGCCCGAAAGCTTCTCGGGACCGGTCTGAACTTCGAGCTCGTCCTGGACGCCGTCTGGAGGCCTTCTCGGGGACCCAGAAGAGGATGGGATGCGGACGCGGGTGCCTTGCGCCATGCCGCCGGCCCCGAGAAGAGGAGATGCCCACTTCCCGAAGTGCTGCCTGTGTGCAGTAGTTGATGTTTTAAAGAGCGCGTTCTGTGGTCGCTTGGAGAGGGGGGGATTTGGAACTGGACCCCCCCCCTGGACGGAGGGGGGGGGGTGTTTCACCCCCCCCCTGCTTCTCCTCTCCTCGGGCTGGCGCTGCGCTTGGGTCGGCGGCGGCTGGCGACGGCGGCGGGGACGACGATTTCCATTTCTTGGCCGGCGCCGGCGCCTGCGGCGGCGGGCGGCGGTGGCGGGGAACGTCGACGAGGACGACGGTGGTGGTGGTGGTGGGTTGTTGTGGTGGTGGTGGCGGTTTGGTGGTTGTGGTGGTTGTGTGGTGGTTTGTTGTGGTGGTGGTGGTTGTGGCGGTGGGTGGTGGTGGTGGTGGTGGTGGTGGTGGTTTGGTGGTGGTGTGGTGGTGGTTTGTAGTGGTGGTGGTGGGTTGTGGTGGTGGTGGTGGGGTGGTAGTGTGGTGGTGGTTTGTGGTGGTGGTAGCGGTGGGTTGTGGTTGTGGCGGTGGTTTGTGGAGGTGGTGCTTGTGGTGGTGGTGGTGTGGTGGTTTGTGGTGGTGGTGGTGGGTTGTGCTGCTGGTAGTGGTGGTGGTTGTGGCGGTGGTGGTGGTGGTGGTGTGGTAGATTGTGGTGGTGGTAGTGGTGGTAGTGGTGGGTTTTTGTGGTGGTGGTGGTGAGTTGCGGTGGTGGTGGTGGTCGTGGTGATGTGGTGGTGGTTTGTGGTGGTGGTGGTGGTGGTTTGTGGTGGTGGTGGTGTTGGTGGGTTGTGGTGGTGGCGGTGGTTTGTGGACGTTTGTTGTGGTGGTGGTGGTGGTGGTGGTGGTGGTGTGGTGGTTTGTGGTGGTGGCGGTGGTTGTGCTGCTGGTAGTGGTGGTGGTGGTGGTGATGGTGTGTGATGTGTGGTGGTTGTGGTGGTGGGTGGTGGCGGTGGGTTGTGCTGCTGGTAGTAGGTGGTTGTGACGGTGGTGGTGGTGGTGGTGGTGGTGTGGTAGACTGTGGTAGTGGTGGTAGTGGTGGTGGGTTTTTGTGGTGGTGGTGGTGATGGTGAGTTGCGGTGGTGGTGGTGGTTGTGGTGGTGGTTGTGGTGGTGGTGGTGGTTGTGTGGTGCTGTTGGTGGTGGTGGTGGTGGGTTGAGGCTGGGTTGAGGCGTTGGTGGTGGTGGTAGTGGTGGTAGTGGTGGTAGTGGTGGTAATCTTCGCTTCGTCCCCGCCGTCGCCGGCGCCAGCGCCGACGCTGCTGGCCGCCGCTAGCGCCGGCGCCGAGGGGGGGGGTTCGAATCCCCCCCCCTTGGGAGGGGGGGGGCAGGGGTTTGAAACCTCTCCCCTCCCCCCCTGGGCTGCCTCTGGTCATCGTCGCTGCGTCCCTGCCGTGGGCGCTGCTGGCGGCCGCCAGCGCTGGCGCCGGCGCCGAGGGGGGGGGGGTATTTCGGGAGGGGGGGGTTTGGAGGGGAGCGGAGCCCCCCTGGTTTTGATCGACGGCGCCGAGTGTTGGGGGGGGCAAACCCCCCGGTTTGAAACGCGCCGCCGAGTGTTCCCAAGGCAAGCGCCCGTGAAACGCGTTCTCGCTGATGTTTGTTTGCCCTCCTTCTCCTTCGCGCCTGTCACGTGGCTGTGTCGGGGCCTCTTAGAGGACTTGGGGGCGGCCTTTCGGGCGTCTTTTTGGGCCGGGCCCTTCTGAGGGCTTCGTGGGTCTAGGCCTCTCAGATGGGGTTGGAGTAGATGGGGTCGGAGGATCGCGCCGCATCGCCGATGCTGAGCCCGATGGTCTCCACACCACCATCGCCGACGTCGCCAGTGCATCGACGATGCATCGTCGATGCATCGGCTACGCGGCGCGATCATCCGACCCCATCCGCTCGGACCCATTTGGGGAACCCCTAGTGGGTGCATTTTTGGGGGCGTGTTGGGCGTCGTGGGTGCCACCTTGGAGAGGGCCCCCGGGGCCCCTTTGAGTTCCCCAGCTTGGTCTTCTTTTGCCCCTCTTGGGGCCCTGTTGAGGGCCCTTTTTCGCCGTCCTGGGCCCAAGAGGCCTCCAAAAGGCCTCCAACAGGGCCCCCAAACTGCCCAAGAGGGCCCCGAGACGGCCCAAGAGGTGATCAGAACGGCCCAAGAGGGCCCCGAGACGGCCCCGATAGGGGCCCAAGAGAGGGAACGCGAACCTCCGCAGCCATTCTGGCTCGAGAGCCATTTTTGCTCAAGCCGTCCTGGTCCAGGGGCACAGGGGGCCCACTGCGATGCACCCGCGACTCTTTCGGCAGCGGCTGCTCGAGCTCGCCGCGGAGTACGAGGGCCTCCACGCGGCGGCCGCCCTGTCGTTCGCCGAGGTGCCCGCGGTGCCGCGCGAGTCCTCCGAGGGCGCGGCGGCGACGAGCCCGAGCGGCGACGGCGGGGCCGCCCCGCCCAGCGCCAGGAGCGCGCCGCCGCAGAACAGGCGGTGGCTGGTGCAGGTCCGGGCCCCCTCCGAAGAGCTGGCGAGGCGCCCCGACGAGAGCTCGGTGCCGAGAGCTCCGTCCGACACCGGGGTCGCGGCGCAGCGCGGGCCCGCGAGGCTGTCCGTGGGGAGCTGCTCCATTGGAAGTCCAGCGCCGAGCAGCCACGTGCCGGAGTCCAATGACGGGAGCTCCGTTCTGGACGTCGTAGAGCCGAGGAGGAGCACGAGAAGGGAGAGTGGGGAATCCAGGAGAGAAAGTAATGATTCTTTTGCCACAGCGATCTCCGCGGCATTCGCTTCCGCCGGCGCAGCTGTCCATAACTTCCTCAGACGCGACGCGGAGCAGGTGTCGCACCAAAGATCTACGACACCACCACACGACGGAAGGGCCAGCTATTGGAGTTGGGTGTCTTCGAAGGAAATGAAGAAGTTCAGTACGGCCGTGGAAAGGTCGACGGCAAGGAAGTCCTCTCGCCGGTCGGCTACGGTAGATTTGCAGAAATTGCAGAAGAAGCCTTTGGCCGATTTTGTGAAGAGTCGCTACTTTGCTGTGGCTTCCGCACTTGTGATCATCATGAGTACTGTGTTGATTGGCATTGAGACCCAGATATTTTCTAGCCTGTCCCACCAGGGGTCAGACTCGAGGCACCTCGCGATGGCCCTATCGGCAGCGAATTACTTTCTTACTTTGGTGTTCGCGGTGGAGGTGCTGATGCGAATATGCGTGCTAGGAATCATGCACCCAGGGGACAGGGTGTGGAACTGCTTCGACATTGCGATCCTGTTCCTGGCGCTGGCCGAGATCGCTCTGGAGCTTGTGGTGCTCGCGATCTTTGGCAAGGATCATAACCTCTTCGATGGCGGTGGTTTGGCGAAGATGCTGCGCCTGTTTCGCCTCACTCGGCTTCTCCGAATCATCCGGACGTTTCGCCAGCTGAAGCCGCTGCGTGTGCTGGTGCATTCCATAGCATCCGCTGGCAAGTCCGTTTTCTGGGCCCTCATGCTTCTCTTCATGATCATATTCTCCTTTGGAGTGATCTTGACTCAGGCTGTGTCTGAACATACCGAAGGTGGCACGCGAGTCGATGACGATGATCTAGTTTCGTACTACGGAGACCTCTTACGGTCAATGCTCAGTCTTATGATGGCTGTGTCCGGGGGTATCAGCTGGCATGAGTTAACAACGCCGCTGCAGGGAACTGGAAACATTTGGTGGGTGATGCTATTTCTGGTTTACATTACATTCGTGTACTTCTTTGTGCTGAACGTTGTGACAGGTGTGTTCTGCCAGAATGCGATCGAAGGGGCTCAACAGGATCTGGATCTTACCATTGAGGCACAGCTCAGGGAGAAGCAGGTATACGCGGACCGCCTCAAGCTGCTTTTCGAGGAGATGAACCAGGATTGCGATCCTGAAGAGGGGCTGACAGCGGCCGATATACACGAGCAGATGGAGAAGCCCAAAGTGCAGTCATTTTTCAAGGCCTTGGACATCGACGCAAAGCAGACGTGGAAGCTGTTCAAGGTCCTGGACTCCGCCAACTCTGGCGCCATCTCCCTCCAGGACTTCGTCGAAGGGTGCCTGCAGATGAAGGGGTCGGCCACGCGCGTTGACGTGGAGTCGCTGAAGTGGGAGATCAGAGCCGCAAACCGGCGCGCGGTGCTCACTGCCGACAGGATTGCTGAGCTTCTGGAGCAGATCTCCGCATCGGGGGCCGCAGCCTGCGCAGCCTGCGGCGGGGAGGTCACCAGGTTCGGGCGAAGAGAACTATGCACATGCACCGATCCTGGCAAGGCCCATTCTTGACCCTGGATCGGTGCATATGCCTTCCTGGCCAAGGCAGGAGGGCGTATGCACCAATCCTGGGCTCAGGATGGGCCTGGCCAGAATCGGTGCATGTGCAGAGTTCTCTTCCCTCTACAGGTGAGCACTGGGTGCCAGCTTCATCTCTGTCTGGAGCACCAGGTCATGCTGCGGGTGATGCATCCCCAGATGTCCAGATGGCATGATGTTCCGCGCGGGCTCCGGGAGGCGAGGGCCGCCAGGTGCCGCCACTCCGTGGCATGGCATGGTATCGCCCTCGTCCTACAGCCAACACTCACAGTAAGGACGCACGGATGCCCTGAGGGTACCCTCTGCGTCCTTCCTTCTGCGGCCCGTCCTGCGCGGTTCTCCCTGGCCGGCCTTTCAGGGCGCTGGCAGCTGGCCGCCCAGAAGGGGCCAATTTCGGCGCCCAAGGCCGTGTCCTTAGCGCCCACCCTTACTGTCGATCTCGATCGTGCAATACGCTCCTTTCTCTCAGGAGGGAACAAACACACACAGGCACAATAAACATCCTATGTATTAAAAGCTGTCCTGTATGCCCGGGTGCCTCACACGCGAACGAAAATCTCAAGCCCAAGCCGAAGCAGCCAGACGCACGGGTACGCTAGAGAGGGCCAGCTTCGGTTTTTGTCAGTGCCTGATCTTCAGGCGGTCCGGCACCTCCGTCTTGGCTGCCTGACGCCCCGCGGTGTGCGCCGCCAATGACCTCCTCCTTGGAGGGCCCGCTTCCTGCCGACGACGCCAAGGCTCGATGTGGCCTGGGCGTTCCGTCCTGACTCGGGACGCCCCCCTCCCCGCATGCCCGAGAGGAAGGAGCAGCCCTTCCAGGAGGTGGAGGGGGGGTTGGAGGGGGTGGAGGAGGAGGCGGAGGAGCTGAGCCGGGCGACTTGCTCTGCAGCGGCCTGTAGCCTATACTGTGTCACCCTCGTGCCCCAGATCGCGCAGGAGTGCGACCACCACAGAGGGAAGAGCGAGGTGGCTTGGCGCTCCGCGGGAGGCAAGCCAGGCCATGTTGCCGCCTTTGCGAGGGGCTCTCGCCGCTGCGGGCACGTTCTCCTAGGCCTCCCAGATGGGGTCAGAGTAGATTCTTTATCAATATGCTTGGCGCTTTGGGCACTGCTCCCTCTGTGAGCCTCCTCCCACTCAACTCGATCGCCCCCTGCCTGCTCCTCCCCGAACCACTCCCGCCTCACACGCGAAATAAATCGCTCGAGCTGGAGCAGCCAGACGCAAAGGTGAGCTAGAGAGGGCCAGCTTCGGTTTTTGTCAGTGCTTGATCTTCAGCCGGTCCGGCACCTCCGTCTTGGCTGCCTGACGCCCCGCGGTGTGCGCGGCCAATGACCTCCTCCTTGGAGGGCCCGCTTCCTGCCGACGACGCCAAGGCTCGATGTGGCCTGGGCGTTCCGTCCTGACTCGGGACGCCCCCCTCCCCGCATGCCCGAGAGGAAGGAGCAGCCCTTCCAGGAGGTGGAGGGGGGGTTGGAGGGGGTGGAGGAGGAGGCGGAGGAGCTGAGCCGGGCGACTTGCTCTGCAGCGGCCTGTAGCCTATACTGTGTCACCCTCGTGCCCCAGATCGCGCAGGAGTGCGACCACCACAGAGGGAAGAGCGAGGTGGCGTGGCGCTCCGCGGGAGGCAAGCCAGGCCATGTCGCCGCCTCTGCGAGGGGCTCCGGCCGCTGCGGGCACCTTCTCCTAGGCCTCCCAGATGGGGCACTGCATTCTCCTGCTCCTTCCCATCCTGCATCCTCCTGCTTCTCTCCGAGCTGACGGTCGGCGCCTGCGGCTCGGCGACCTGCTCGGTCGGCGCCACTCGCTCGGCTGCGGCGGGCACTGGCAGTGGCGTGTCGGTGCGAGGGCAGAGGCCGAACGCCGCTCCACTCGCAGCAGCAGGCACGGTCGACGTCTTCGCCACAGGGGCCATCGGGCGTCCACGCCACGCTGTTAGTGCAGTCTTTTGCATTGGCCGTTGCAGGGCATGCTGCCATCGGCGCCAAAGTTTTCAACTCATCGCACGAGCCTCGGGCTCGGGTCGAGCTCCCTATGGTCACGTTCATGTCCTACTCACGGCTTGATGTGAGCCAGAGGCCAGAGGCTTGGGCAAACGCTCTGTTGCAGTTGGAGCATGGACAAATGTCCTGGGAGCGTCCCGCAGATTCGGTTGTCCTTAGGTGGAACCCCCTCATCAGGGGTTCCACCTGAGGTCCCAGTGGCGCAGTCCGCATGGCGCCGCCGCCTCATTTTGATGCACCCTTCACACGTTTCGTGGCCCCATCGTGGGTTCCACCTAAGGTCCCAGTGGCGCAGTCCGCATGGCGCCGCCGCCCCATTTTGGTACCTCTCACTCGCTTCGTGGCCCCAGCTCCGCCCTGCTCCATTTCGGTACACTCTTCACGCGCTTCGTGGCCCCATAAGGAGATCCACCGAATGCGATAGTAACAGCGACGGTATTCACATTTCAGATGGTTGGGCCCTTCGCCAAGCTACTTTGAAATCTGTTTTGCAAAACGTAGTGTGTGTTCTCATGTTTTTTGGACACTCGATTTTGAAATCCTTACGACGCCGAAGGTTTTTGACGAATTGCGGCGTGCGCGCGACGACGCGCGCGTGTGCGCTTCGTCTCATTTGTTGCAGGGGGTACCTCCAAACGGGTTGTTTCTGAAACGCGTTTTTTGCAGAGGATGGTGGGGGGGGGGAACGGATACGGGCCCCCCAGAGATGGCGCGAATTCATATTTAGGATGGACGATTGGGCAGAGCCACGTGTAAATCGCAATCGCAAGAGGGGGAGGGGCTGGGCGGCGACGGCGACAGCGCAGCCGCCAGACCGCCAGCCAGGCCCGGACGACGGGCTGCGACGGGGCGGCGACGGGGCGAAGGCGGCGACGACATCGCCGCCAGACCGCCAGACGGGCCCAAGACGACGGGAGGCGACGAGGCGGCGACGGCGACAGCATGGCCGCCAGACCGCCAAACTGGTCCAGCTCCTTGCAGTGCCGTTTTTAATACATGCTCCGCGTGCGGATCAAGTGTTAAGAATTCAGGGATGTAGTATTAACAACAACGATGGGGTCATGCATACATTTATTGAAAGGCTGCCGCCTCTGCCGCCGACCCCAAAGAAGTTTGTCTTGTTGGGGGCCCAGGGGCCTTTGGACTTCCGGGGAAGTCATAGATTGCCCAAGTGAGCCCTGGCGCGATCTTCGTCATTGGGGTTGATAGAAGGGGGGGGGGAGGGGGGGGGCGCATGGCGATGAGGGCGACGGGAAGCCGGAAGCCGGAAGCTGGAAGCCGGAAGCCAGAAATTGAAAGCCCGAAACGTGGGCGCCCGCGGCGAGGCGACGCTGCCCCCCGCGGCGCTGGCCAATGATATGATGGCCCTATGTTCGCCGGAAGAACTGTTCTGTACCCAGGGGTGCTTGAGTTCTATATTACAGAACCCGCTGTTCAACAACAATCATCATAGAACCCAAGATCTATGATCATAACTTAACATGTGCAAAAATAAAGAAAATGAAGATGCACATGCAACTAAGCTTGAGACCCCCACGGCATGCGCAGCGCAAGCGGGGGAAGCGATAATAAGGAGGAGGAGGAGGAAAAGAAAGGGGCGAGGGAGAAAAGGAAGAGGAGGAGGAGGAAGAGGAGGAAGAGGGGGAGGAGGAGGAGGAGGAGGAGGAGGAGGAGGACGAGGAGGCAAAGGAGGAGGTGGAGGAGCGCGACAAGAAGAGAATCGGATGAAGAGGAGGACTGAAAGTAGAAGAAAGAAGAGGAGGATGAGACGAGTCCGCGGCGTCTTCCGTCTTCCCTCCCTCCCTCCCTCCCTCCATTCCTCCCCCCTCCTCCCTGACTCTCTCGTGCCCCCCCTCCCTGCCTGCCTCGCTGCCTGCGTGCCTGCGTTCCTGCCGACTTGTCTGCATGCCTGCTTGCTTGCCCCCGACCCTCGAGTACCGCAATCCCCCTTCTCCTCCCTCGTATCTTGCTCCTGACCAATCGTGTTCATCCTCATCCTCATCTTCTTCTTCTTATTCCTCCTCCTCCTCCGTTTCACCTCCCCCCTGTCGCCCATTCGTCGCGTTCGTCCGCCTTTCTCTATCACCGCCCTTGTTTTTTTGATTATTATTGGTGCATGTCTATAAATATATTTCCTCTCTTCTTCCTTCTGCGAAATACTCTTTCCAGGTTGTGTGTTCCCTCTCACGTTCGGATCGGCACCGACTACACCGTCGAATGTCGGAGGGAGCGCCACGGGATGACCTCACTAGTTGGCCGACGGCATGCGCAGCACAGCGTGGCGCACGTGGTAGTCCATTAGAATATTCAACTGTTGTTTTACCACCTTGATGTCTTTCTCGAGGGTCTTGATCTTCGAATTCATTTTCATCATCTCTGCGGTCGCGTTGTTCAGCGCGATGTATGCCTCTCGGCCCCCGCACATTCGCCCACTCGTACTCATTGTCGTTGTCGTCCTCGTCCGTCCTCTCGTCCTTCGCCTACACCGTCGACCACCGCCGCCGTCGTCGGCGCTGTCATCATCGTGGTCGCGCCACCGTGACTCACCCTCGTCGCGCTACACCTCTCAGCACTAAGGTCCACATGTCCTCCTCCCCCATCTCCTGATCCTACCGCCCCGTACCTCCTCATCCATTGATCCTCCTGCCATCCTTTTTCAGACATGTCTCTCCGCGCCTGCTCCATATCTGCTGAACTCGTGGCCGCGGACTCGATCACCGTGCTGACCGCTTCCATGAGATGGATCGCTGGGTCAAAGGGCTGGCTGTCGTCCGCCTTCTCGTCGTGGTTGTCCGTGTCGATCGAACCGCTCTTGCCGCCCTTGCCCGTCGAGGAGCCTTCGCCACTGCCGCAAGCTGTGCCACTGCCCTTGCCCTTGTTCTTGCCCGTTGCCGCCTCGTAGCCGAAGCGCTCGACGTCCGAGAGGCGAACCGACTTGCAGCTCATGTCGCTGAGGTCGCCGTCGTCGAAGTCGTTGTCATCGCCCTTGCCCTTGCCCTTGTCGAGCCTGCTGGCGCCGTCGGCGTCCGCCTCCTCGCCGCGGCTGCGCGACCGAGATCCACTACCGTGCGCGTCTGATATCCTGCCTCGAGTGATCTCACCGTGCCAAGTAACTCAGTTCCTGCGATGTTGGTTTGAGCCAAAATGTTCGACGCGAATGCCTGGATCCAGGGATATTCCGACTGCGTTTTCGCTGTGCATGGCCGGAGGGGGACCGAAACAGCGTTTAAAACCGAATTCGATATTTCGTAGAACCGCTTCGGGCTTCACCCTGGAACGAAACCAAAACGATCCTGGACGTTAGTGCCCCATGATCGTCCGTGTTTATCATGCTCATCCGTTTCTTGCGTTTCATGCTAGTCCTCCCCGCCCTTATTCCGCTATGTTGCCATTTCTCTTACATTTCCTCCGACCCATCCTCCATCCTCGCTCTAATTCATACTCATCCTTCCCGAGCGCCTAGCCCTCCGCCCCAATTCGCTACCTCATCACCCTCCACTCGTTTCTTTCTATTCTGGGCTAGCAACAGAGCCTGGACACCGATGGGGCCTGGGCGGGAGCGAACCTGAAATGCACCTACGTGAACCCGAAGGCGGTCGGTCTCCACCCAGCTCTCTGTGCGGGTGGTGGTGGCGTTTTTTAGGTTTCGTATCGTTGGCATTCTCCTCGTCATGTTCATCGTCATCACGCTCTGCTGTCGTTCTCCTCGATACCTCTCCGTACGTGTTCCTCATCTGCGTTTACCGGCCACCTCGGGAAACTGAATTCGACTCTCACCCCTGCTCATGCACCGTTTGGGCTGAGTGTGGATGCAGTTTGGATGCAGTTTGGATGCATTTTGGATGCCTTTGGATGCGCCTGGCACGAGCACTGGATATGTTTGCACACATCCCACAACACGCCACGTTTCAATCAATTCGTGAAACGTCGGGTCGTACCCGAACGAATGCCAGAACAGATGCGGCGTCCATCTCCTCAGCTCCCCTCATCCTCGTCGTCTTCGCTCACGTCGTACATGCCATCACCCGTATCACCGTCCTCATGATCACCATCCTCATCATCATCCTCGTACTCCTCCTCCCAGCCGCCATCATACTACATGACTTGGCATAGGTTCATTTATTGTGCACCCACGGACGTCATAGCAACGAGCGTTGCAATAGACTCGCAAAACGAATCTGGATACGCAGAGCTGGCTGCTTGCGCCTTATTGCCGTTGACCCAGACACCATACCAGCCCGTGCCTGAATTAGTGCGACGCCGTTTGGAACATTGGAAGCAAGGAAATTCGTGCTGAAGTGCCGCGAGCACCTGGCGCGCGCGTGCCTTCGTACATCTCAGGAACACATTGGCCGCACACCCGTGGTTTGAGGCGAGCGTAAGAGGTTTGAGGGAAGGATGGCCATATCCGCCAAGGAACGTGAATGTGTGCAAGCACCCGAGCGTATCAAGAGTTTGCTTCAGAACTGGGAAATCGAACATCATACTTCCAGTGGGATTCTCAATAATGATGAACACGCTCCTCATCCTGGCCAACGTGCATAGCCAGCACCTTAGATGGGGATGTCAACGGCCGACACCAGAGGGAGGCATGCGACGGGTCAACCCGAATGGTCAGGCTGCATCGCGCGATCCACGAGATCGCGCATCAGAGAATTTGAGTTCTGCACAGAACCTCGACGCTAAAGTTTGCCTCCCGTACGTCCTGTCGCATGCAGTCTCCGAAGGTGTCGGCCTTTGACCGTTTCGAATTGTAGGAACACATATGGATCCACGTTGGGCACTGAGGGGCTGCCCACAGCGTGCCGTTCTCTTTGATGAAGAGAAAATTGCCCATGCAGCTGTCGCAATGCCCTCTAATCTGCACAAGTCTTCCAAACGATGACTCGTCGCCGAAGTCAATTCCCACGGTTTGCCCGCCCACCGCGTGCGACTGAAATTACACGATGGCCTTGGGGTCCGACTTGTGTGTAACATAACACGACTCGTGCTTGATTAAGTTTCCAGTGTAGTGGCCGTAGGCAATCGCGCAAGATTCGATTGCGGCAGTGCCTGTCGAATCCCAGCGCAGGCAAGCCAGCATCATTGCACGCCTTGGTTGCACCCGCTCCCCCGCAGCACAGCTCAAAGAAATGCAAGTACCGAGTAAAGCTGTCGCACGGCAACCACGAGTTGAGTTCATCGACAGCCAGTCTGAACAGCCGGCTGCCGTTAGTCATGTTAAGGAAACGATCTCTGGCGGCGGGGCAGATGTCGCGCGCCCTCGACGCAATCCACCCAGGAGGTCCATTCCCGACCCCAATTGGTTGATCGTCGCCGCGTGACATCGTGGTGCCACTTGGGTCCGTAAATGCGCGACCACGGCTTGATTGAGCCAAGAATGTAGAAAACGCGGAAAATAGACCACTGCATCGTTTTTCGATGGGATTTCTGCGCAAAGCCCCTGATGATGAAATTCAAGCCCTCGCCCACCCACGTCGAGTAGAAACGTGGGGGTCCTAGAATCCAAGTCCTCTCATCCGAGGGGAACGCACTGCGATGGGGGGGGGGGCGCAAGAAGGGGCACGTGCTGGGAGATCACGCGGTTGAACGGTTTGTCGTTCCTAAGCCTTCGGCGGTGCGTTGGCTCGGGCGTTCCGAACAGAATCTCGATGCGAAGTGGCCGGGGGCGGCGAGCGGCGACGAGAGGAGAATGCGTTGCCACGGCGCCCCCTTGCTGCTCCACGTGTTCATCATTCCCCATGGCCCCCGATTTCAATATGAATGTCCTCAGCGCTAGATGGCAAAACAAATCATGCTTGGGCGTGATCTTCACGCCCGCCTCGTCTGCCAAGATCACGTGCCGACCGCGCTCGTCGCGCAGAGATTGGAATGCTTCATGGTCAGGGCTGGGCTTCATCTTTGGGGGTGAACTCAGAGTGGGCATGTCATGCGTGATGTGTGTGTCTGAAACCGAAACTGACCCCCGCCCCCGCCCGATAAAACACGATTCTGGATCACATGACTTTGGGGCCCACAACG